TACCCCCCCCCCCCACCCTAATAGTTCGATCATAGTAAATGAGAGCTGTGTGTAAGAAGAGCACAATGGTCGATGTTGCTGTGATATCTCCTTTCCGAAGGGAACCACCGCCAGAGGAGAACACAGTGTACTCGGTAACAATGTAATTAACGATGGTAATCTTTCCGTGTGTGAATATTTATGTACAGTTTAGTCATCAATTCATAGGATCAGTATCGATCAACGATTGAAAACGCACTGATAATGTTTTAAAAACGATCTACACAGAATTCCTGCCTCACGCTCAGTTATCCCCTCCCCCATTGCTCCCACATAACTACTGACGTGACCATTCGGCCAGCATTGTGTGAAAGTTTAATACTATTCGGTTACCTCCTTCCCTGTCCTGACAACCTTCGATCGATCGCACTGAATCCATGGTGCTCTCTCCCGATTTCATTTCGATGCGAGCAGGTTATCGCTATCGTGTTTCCGGGCAGTTCAAGAACAGTTTTCGAGCACTGTTGTGAATCTCCCATGAAGAACTCGATTTTTTTCTTTTTTTTGTTGTTGTAATACCTTTGGTTGAATACATAAACTCACAAACAATTCCAGAATAATCCCATTGCAACATCAGAACACAAGTCCGGAGCCTTCGGACTTGTGTTCTGATGTCACAAATAATTCTCAAGATTGGGGGAGTCCATCAGTCCCAAAGCTGCCATGTGACACGACCAAAAGGGAAAAGTTAAGTGGCACTGGTGTGTCTCCGATCTCCGAGGCGCCGTGATCAGGAATTTTCCGTGAGGTTCAAAAGCATGATTCCTTGGGTTAGTTGTAGGTTTGTCTGTATCCGGTTTGTTGCTCACCGTTCTCTCTGATTATCCGGCTTTCTTTTCAAGCATACGCTGGACATCGATACAACCTCATTTCTCATCAGTCCACCAAGTGGCGGTCAGTAGAACGATCGATGCCGGCCGGTTGGGTCATTGCGTTTATTCGCTCGACCGACAGACGCTGCTCTTGGTTTGCGAGAGAGAGAGAGAGAGAGAGTGGCTCTCAAATCATATAAGGTTTCCGGCCCGTCGGCTTTTAAAGATGAAGGTTCAGCCTTGATCTTGGAGTTGACGAAACTTCTGGACTCAACATGGGCTCGGGAACAAGTTCCAATTGAGCGGTGTGCATCAGTCGGTTTACCGATTTGCAAGAAAGATGACAGATCCTATTGTGAAAACCACAGACAAATTAGTTTAATCAATATTGCCTCCAATTCTCTAGCCGATATCATACTCCGTCGATTGTCTACCGCACGTGAAGGTTGCACGCGGGAGAATCAGGCTGATTTTAGGCATACTTAACGTTGAATTGGCGATATTTTCAGCCTCCGTCAACCTCTGGAACACAGGAGGGCATTTTGTAGATCCACCATTTCTGTCTTCCTCGATCTGAAAGCGTCTTTCGACTCAGTCGACCGCTATTAACTCTGGTGCCGCCTCTCCATGAAGGATGTGCCCGAGAAGCTAATTTCAATATTACGATCGCTTTATACTAATAGCCGAAGCCGAGTCCGAGCTTACGGCACTTTTTCGGCTGAGTTCACCACGGAACGGGGTGTTCGTCAGAATTACCCCCTCTCTCCTTTTCTGTTCAACTTTGTCATGCATTTTATTGTGGAAACAGCCCTCTTCTCGTTCGAGGATAGTAGCATGGGTTTGCTCCCAGATGACAGACTGTCTGATTTAGAGTATGCAGACGAAATCGTACTGCTATGTGAAGGTACAAGTAAGTTGTGAGCTGTTCTGAATAGTTTCAGTGTTAGTGCATGTATGTTTCCTATGCGATTTGCACCCTCGAAGTGCAAGATATTACTATTAGATTGGGTTGATCCAACTCCCAACCCCACTCGAACTGGGGAAGTGATAGAGGAAGTAGACCACTTCGCTATTTGGGCGGGTACATCTCACCCGGTGGACACATTGCGGATGAAGTGTCGGCTCGCATACTGAAGGCCCGGTTGGCATTTGATAACTTGAAACCTCTGTGGCACCGTAGCGACATCCGGCTGTCTGTGAAGGATCGAGTGTATACTACTGCAATTTGGCCAGTTCTGCTATACGGTGAAAAAGCTTCACCATTATGAAAGCAAGATAAAAATAGACTGTTGGAGCTCGAATACCGCTGTCTGCATCGCGTTGCACGAGTCCGGTGGAAAACCCAGATAAGCAATACCGAAGTTACGCGTAGGGTTTAGGGTGGCCGCGGTAACTCACTGAAACATGTGGTCGACCTTCAAGGATAACATTGGTTCGGGCATCTGTTATGCTTGTCACCAAATAAGTTGCCTCGACACGCAATGTTTGCGGAAGCAGGTAGTGAATGGGTAAAACCTAAAGGAGTTCAAAATGAGACTTGCCATAAGGTTTTGAAAACCCTGACGAAGAAAATCGGTCATATAGGTCCCGTTTGGCTCCCTGGATGGGTATCTTGGGAAAATTATAACCAACGGTTAGAGACAGCGATATGGCTGAGTGTCGTAAACATTGGTGCTCTTGTGTCTACTCAGTGTCCTTGTAGTCTTAGTGTTCATGAATGTTCTGTTTTCACCTTGATATTGATTTGAAAATTCCGGTTTCCTTCGCATTCGAATGAGCAACCAAAGCCAGTGCATGAACGCATATAGTTCATCGTTGTGTAAACTGGACCGAACTGCTTGAAGGGCTGTGATCACGTCCAATCCTTGTTTACTCTATGCACTGATCGTCACCTCGTTCATATCAATTTTTCCGGTGCCTAGACCTTTCTGCGACCGTATAATGATCGCTATTCCATGAGTTATCGACTGTAGCTGTAAAATGCCCCAGTAGGGTAGCTCTGTTCATTGCTTGTGGTAGCTTATTCCTTCGGAAATCACAACTCAATGCATGTCCATCTCCGAGGGACATAGCGGTTGGTCAAGTTGTTCTGTGGCTAACATGATCATTCAATCCCCAACAGCGGATCCTTTTGAGTACACATTTAGGAGAAATTTTCCGCGTGCAACGTGAAGCAGAATTATAAATATAACTAATCAGCTTTTGCCAGCTATTNACTACATATTTGATGTGTGACCTGGCTTTGTACAGTGCCGTAAAACGAACGAAATGATTGAATCAGGAGGTGCTTTATATCCGTTTTAACATTTTTAAAAAGCTAACAAAAGTGGGATCACCTTGTTTTCTGCGTACTCCAAGTCATCATTGTCGCATTACACGAGTCTGGTCGGGGTAACCGGACGAGCAACACAGAGGTTAGGCGTAGAGTTTTAGGTGGTCGCGGTCGTCCACTGGAGCAAGTAGTCGACCTTCATAGATTACGTTGGATGGGACGTGTTACACATATCA